CTCTCTCTCTCTCTCTCTCTCTCTCTCTCTCTCTCTCTCTCTCTCTCAGAGTCCAGTACTAACCTGTGAAGGTGGCGCCTTGTTGCAGGTACATCGAAGACGAAGCTGGAGCTATGGCGCCACAGGTAAGTCTCCCTAGCCTCCGCCAACCATCTCTCTCTCTCCAACGGTAGCGCCCAGCGCTGAAGACTACTGCTAACGCTACTACTACTACTGCAGCGCTCCTCCAGAGTGCTGCTGCCGAATCCTGAAGACTGCCTCCTGCCTCCTGCACGTGAAGTGCCTGGGAAGTCCCTATGAACTACCTCGTGACTCTCTGCAGCCTGCAGGGCGGGCCAGTCTTATATAGTCCTGGCCCGTCCAGGAGGCTGCTCTTGCCAATGCCAAAACGTGCCAGACCCTGACGTTGAAGTTCAAACGAAGGTTGTCTTGAAAACAGCCCCAAAATGGCCTGTGCTAAAACCCTGGTCTGGTGCCTACGTTTCAGGGCAGGCCGATCTTATGAGGGCCTGAAAATGGCCCTCCGTTTCAGGCTGAAAAGACTCAGGGCCTGGAGGGCCCTTTTTAGGCTGAAACGACACAGGGCCTGTAGGCCCTTGTTTTCAGGCTTTTAGGCTGAGAATGCAGGTCGGGCCCTGCAGGCCCGTGTGGCTGCGCAGTATGCCACATTAGGCCATGAGGCCTCTGTAGATCAAGGTTTGTGGCTTGAAAATGTTAAAGGTCACAGCCATAAGGGATTGGCTGAAACCTCACAAGAGTCACAACCTAACCAAAGCACGATCTTTTTATATAGGACTGCAAGGATACTATAGCTATAGGCAGGTCATGAAGGACTATATATAATAGTACAGAAAGTCCTCTTACAATAGTACCAAAAGAAAGCCCTTGAACAATAGTAGAGAAAGGGAAAAAAGCAAACACAGCTCGAGCAGATCACAGATGCCGACCTGCCTCGTTGGCAGGGGACTTGTCAGAAATGAGAAGAGAAAGGAAAAAAAAGAAAACAACAACATTCAGAATCTGACCGGTTTAGCGGTAAGATTCATTCTGTGGAGGACTACTGTGAGCACGGCGTCCTAGACCACCCTGGCCAACATCATTGCAGTAGAAAAAGTATCTTCTTTTTTTTTTCTTTTGTTTTCCGCGCTCACAAGAGATCACTTTTTCAAAGTAATGATGCGCCGCAGCCTTGGTGTCATGATTAGAAACACACGCTATGTTTCCACAAATGGATTGAAAAGTAGGTCCATGTAATTGATCAATACTTTGTAAACAACACAACCTTCCATTGCCTATATTTTGTTCAAAACTATGATTTGAGTAATTTGTATCTTATACAATTTTTTTCAAAATTTCTGTATTGGATAAGATAACATCTGTAATGAAAATACAAACTCCTCCAGGTGACAAAAATTCACACAATCATATTCATTGGTGCAGAAGGTTTGAACAAAAAGAAACTGAAAAAAAGAGAAAAACAAAGAGAACAGCAGAAAGACTCTTAGAGTCTAGATACGACAAATCTGCAAGTAACTTGATGAAAATTACATGAATAATAAATAAAACACACAAAAAAAACACTGTGATTGCTGTGCGCTTGCTGTGCACTTCTGTAATGTATATCACGTGTGTGCAAGAAAAATGAGCGATAGCGAAATGACAGAAATCCAGAATGCAAAGTCACATTGAAAGCCAGAAAGTCCAACGCTGTCCAGAAAAAGCAGAAATGCACCGATATTCCACCAACGGAAAGCCAAAGCACCGAATCCATATGTCAATGAGGGTATACTCTCGCCACCACCGACATATGTATCCAGAGCCCTTCCTCCTACTTGGCGCTCAGCGCCCAGACTACGATCACACAGCGCAACTACCAGCCTACGAATTGACAATGCAACCTGTTGACGTCAGCAGCCACAACCGAAGTACATGAAGATGTCGACCATGTAGACCATCGCCCAGACCAGGTACGTGCCCTCACATCATCATCCTCATCTCTCTCTCTCTCTCTCTCTCTCTCTCTCTCTCTCTCTCTCTCTCTCTCTCTCTCTCTCTCTCTC